AGTAAAATGGAGTCTTTTGGTATTTGTTCGTTTTAAAAGGGTAAACGAGGGATGTCTTTTTTTTTTTTTTTTTAGTTACATACAGCTGTAAGTATGAGATCTTGAAAAGTTTCTTCAGGACTCTTGTGAAGGAAGACTTGGAAAAATTTGTCAAAGTTGGAAGTGTCTATTCCTTTTGTTTTGGTTTGATGTACATGTGCTCGAAAATTCAGTGTTCTTGATATGTGATTTTAACTATAACCATAATGAATTAAAGCTTATCTTTTAGGGAGGGAAAAAATCTGCAATTCTCAGTACTCTGCAACACCGGATAAGTGCATCTGATAAAGAGGTAGACATTTGTTTTTAGAATCTAAAGTCTTACTTTAATAAGAGGAATGTTTATAGTTCTGAGTTATCAAATAAATAGTTTTTAATACAGTATCTAATGCTGATTTTTTTTTGTTTTCCTTGTCTTCAAAGTGGCCTCTTTCCTTTAAAATGTTCTGTTAATGGGAACGTGTGAACTCTGATATAATAGGTTAACTATAATTCTGGAAAATGACTCTTTGAGGTCTTACCAGTCTGGTGTCCCAACCCTGTTTTATCCCTGTGTTCTGAAGCATTAGGTGCTTAAAACGTGGGGTTGCTTTTAATGTTAAAGGATTATTTTGGTGGATATGATCTGAAACAGTTTACAGTGATCAGTACAAACTATGCTCAGATCATTTTTGGAAAATAATAGCTCTACATAAATAGGGGGAAAATATTTTGGTGACCTTTTATTCCCCATTCCCTTCACCTCCCTCCCCCCTCCTTATTTACCAGGTAGTTTCTTAATAACAAGATTTTAATTTTAGTAAACTCCAAATTTTTGTAGATGCATTATGGTGTTTAGCATAGGTGTAGAAGAGATCTCGGTCATCTGTCAGTGCAGACAATTGTGTGCCATAAGTTTTGTGAACTAGTCCAACTCTATCTTAAATTAAGGAGTTGTGTGTTTTTTTGTTTTTTTTTTTTTTAAGTTTAAAATCTTACCTTGGATAAGAAAGCTTATTATTGCTAGTCTTGTGGAAGAAATGCTGTTAATATGAATCTGGGTTGGGTTGTGTGTTTGTGGGATTATTTTAATATTTTGAGGAAAAAGTTGCCCAACTTAGTCTCATTACTACCTACACAAAAATACATTTGTCTCAAACATAACCAACAAGTAGAGGTGCACTGATACACTGGTCTGATATTGGATCTGCACCTATATAAAGAAAACTGACTGTATCAGAAATCAGGCTGATGTGGCCAATATTTTGACCAATTAAATGCCCGTGCAGCTGCAGTGCAACAGGTAGGCAGCAAGGAGCATAGCCTGGCAGCTTGGCAAGGTGCATGCAATCTGGTAAGTCTGTTGTGGTGGAAGGGGCATGGTGGGGCAGATTAAGGCGCCTGTGGTGAGGGAGGGAGTGGGGCTGTGGCAGGCACTGCCCAGCCAGAGCAGGATGAGCCATGGCTCATCCAGGGAGTACAGGGAAGTGGGGCAGGGGGTGGCTCCTGCTGCTGCTGCTGCTGCTGCTGCTGCTGCACACACCCTGGGAAGGTATGGGCAGGTGTGTGTGCCCCTGGATCTGTGCAGGACATGGGCAGGGTGGGCTGCTGCTGCAAGCTGGGGCTGGGGCTGTACCAGGCTCTTCCCAGTGGTTGGGGAGTTGGGTGGGCTATGGCAAATGTTGGGGTGGCTGTAGCCCCCTCCCAGCACCACTGCTGCTTGCCCCAAGCACAGCCTGGCCCAGCCCCTTCTGGGAAGAGCCTGGTGCAACCACAGCCCACAGCTGCAGCCTGCCTTGCTCTGCACAGATCCCCCACCCCCATGCCCTCCTGGGGTGACTGCAGTGGTGGGAGCAGCTCCCGCACCCCCCTGGACAAGTCATGGCTTCATCCCATGCCCACCTCACCCCAGCTGGGCAGCACATGCCCCAGCCCTTCCTCATTGCAGGGGCCTTTGATCTGCCCCCCCCCCTTCCCCTTCCACCACAATAGACTTAACAGTTGGGTACAGCTCTTCAAGCTGCTGGGCTGCATATCAGAAATTGGATCAGTATTGGTCGATGTGCCTCCTTAAAACTTAGCTATCAGTATCAGCCCCCAAAATCTAAATTGGTGCACCCCTACCAACAAGAGTAATTTTTATACGGGCGTTCAAGGTGCTAGTGGAATTTTCAAAGCATCTATTTGTAATATGAAATACCAAAATACCTTTGTAAACAGTTCTTGGGGAATTTCTGAAAATGTTACGTTTTACAGTGTGCCCCTGGGTGGGGCAGTGTTTAGTTCCACACTGTGCTATGTGCTACATGGGTATACCCTCATGTTATGGAGTTTCAATACTATAGGAACTTTAGGGGATGTTATAAGCTTTATTTTAAACTTGCTGGAAGCCTTATAGTTCCAGTTAACAACACCTTGGAAGCTACTGGCATATGTTGTCTAACGTGCTCAGTTCAGATCTGAACCAAGTAGCCAGATGCTACTGGTGGCTGATGTTTTGTCCATGCCAGTATTTCTACATGTGTAATTGATGGGGGTCTCTTTTAAGAGTGCATGTGGGAGCAGGGAAAGGGCTAGATCATAGATAGCAGTAGAGACATTTTCCCCTTACAAATAGAAGTTTGAGGGATTAGGACAGCTTAGTTTCAGCAAACGGGGGTGGGGGGGTAGAGCTATAGTACTTAAAGTAAGGAAGTCCAGTCTGATGCCTAAATTGGAGTTTCTCTTACCCTCTGCTAAGGCCAAGCCCCTTTGGTTTGATTAGATTAGGAATGACAAGAAAATCAGAGCTAATAATTTCTTAAAGTGGGAAAAGGTTATTCTCTGAAGATGACATCTGAAAACATGCACATTTTAAATAAACGTAAAGTGATAACTTAATTCCAAAATGAGATTTCTTCCCATCCCCCTCTCCCCCCACTTAACATGGCAGGAGGGGGGAGCCCCTTGTCTTGGAATCAAATACGAGAGAGTGGGTCAAATGAGCTGTGACCCTGACCCCAGGCTGCAGCTGCAGTCTTTCCCCCAGTATGCCCCATCCTTCCTCCAACTTGCCCCCCCCACCCCAAGACAATTCTGTGCCCCCATTGCAAGTACGCCTCTCCCTCCCCCTTCCCCTTGCTTCTTGTGCTGCTGCTACAGGGCCAGGCTGGGGTTGTGCTCTGTGCCACAAGCTGGAACAGGAGTGAAGCCTGCCAGAGCAATGGTCTGTGGTGGCAGGAGCAAACTGTGGGAGGAAGGGCAGTGGGGGCCCAGGCTGGGGAGAGAGTGGGAGGAGGGCAGGCACAAGGGAGAGTAGGTTGGGGGGCAGGTGGCAGCGTGTAAGTTGTCTCCTTCTACTGCCTTCATACTACCTGCCCCCTCCACCCCCAACCTGCCCTACTGCCAGATCCCTACTGCCTACCAAGGGCCCCTACCACTGCTTTTCCCACTGCATTGGTAATGGGAATGAATTTAAGATGATCCTCCAATAATCAAACAAGGGCGGCATGCTTAGATATTTTATTTTAATCAACTGAAAAGTTTTCTTCAATCAACTGTAATCAAGCTTTAATTTTAACTTAAAGTAGTAAATTTTCAGAAGTGGTGGGGTTTTTTTTGTTTTGTTTTGTTTTTTTTAAATCGACTCTCTCTAATAATTTAAACATAGTGGCTGCAGACTTGCAGAACCATGCTGATGTTATCCAAGAATTTTCGGAGTGCTACCATAACAAGTTTTGTATACTGTCTCTTAGACTGCTGCAAACTATGTGCTTAAATCAGTATTTAATCTCTGTCTTGGCCCTTTTCTTTCAGTGACTGTTCAAGAGGGATATTCATTCACCAACACGGTCTGAAAATGGCACAGACAAAACGTCATAATCCAGTGGACAGTATTTGCCGAAAGATCAAGACTATCCAGATGATGGACCAGTTCTCAAATCCTGCTCTACAGATTCCCAAATTTCAGTCCAGGAACTTTGATAGCCCACAGAATAATGCCAGGAAAAATCTAGAAGAGCTATTGAAAAAAAGGACTTTTAAAAGTTATGATGGTATGCCATGTTCCAGAAGTCCTAATAAGAATAATATTTTCTCTCCATACTTACAGGCCATATCCCCTAGTTTTAGAGATGTCTCTGACTTCTATGCTGGGAAAGCAGCCTATTCCCTCATTAAAAGTAAAGAGTGCAGCGGCAAGCCACGGAGACTAATCTGCCATAGTGAGAGCTGTTCTCCACTTATTCTCCCAGCTAGAGAGGACAATCCTGGCAGTCGGTCATCTGCAGCCTCCAACTCCGAATATAAAGACCTAACTCATGAAATTAATCACCTGACGTCAAGTCCTAACTTGCATTTCTTAACAACTAATCAAAAGACAAGAGATTTTGTATTCCTGTCTCCTTTTTCAAAGAAATTTTCCTTGGATGAAAGAGGTAAAAACAACCCACAAATACCTGCAACAAACTATCTAGATTTCCTACTTTTTAGTTGACGCACATTTTTACACACATCCTTGCAGAAGCATTTACCTTGCTGTAGGTTCATCTGAACCAAGGCAAACCTTCACCAAAAATTCATATAATCTCAAACTGTTTTGGTCAAAAAATAATGTTTTTCAGAACAATGCTTTTCTCCTTATGTAACATTTCATTTTTATTAATGAAACTTCTAATTTAAAAAAAAAAGAAGTAAAGAAAAACCCAAACAATATTGCTTTGGCTCCAATAACTTTTTCTCCACATTCTCCAGTGGACCAAAACTATCAGATATTTGCCCAACTCTGTTCTGCAACCCTTTCCCCTCTTCATAAAAGAAGAGTGCGGAGTCCTTTCATCCATACAACTTGCTCAAACATACTACTTTCCACCTCAAGTGTATTCACTTCCAGACTTGTGAGTTACAATACAGGGAAAGACCCTGATTTTGGAAGATTTATGTGCAAATTGTAAGTTACAAGGTCAAAGCCTTAGTTTTAACCTAAAAAAATCTCTGAACATACTATGTAAGAGGGGAAAGTAGTAGATATGCTGGTAGGGCTAGGATTCAGAGTGATTTAGACAAATTGGAGGATTGGGCCAAAAAGAATCTCATGAGGTTCAATAAGGACAACTACAGTCCTGCACTTGGGACAGAACAATCCCATACACCAGTATAGGTGGGGGGCTGACTAGTTGGGCAGCAACTCAGCGGGAAAGGACCTGGAGGTTACAGTGGACAATAAAGCTGAATATGAGCTAGCAGTGTGCCCCTGTTGCCAAGAAGGCTAACAGCATACTGGGCTGTATTGGTAGTAATGTTGCCAGCAAATCAAGGAAAGTGATTATTCCCTTCTATTCAGCACTGGTGAGGCCACATGTGGAGTACTGTTCTCAGTGGTGGCAGATGACAGAACAAGGAGCAATGGTCTCAAGTTGCAGCAAGGGAAGTTTAAGTTGGATATTAGGAAGAATTTTCTCACTAGGAGGGTAGTAAGACACTGGAGTAAGTTACCCAGGGAGGTGGTGGAAGCTCCATCCTTGGAGGATTCCAAACCCTGGCTAGACAAACTTTGGCTGGGATGGTCTAGTTGGGGCTGGTCCTGCCTTGAGTAGGGGGGGTTAACTAGTTGACCTCCCAATGTCCCTTCCACCCCTAATTTTCTATGATAAGTTTATGCTATTTAAAAAAAAAAAAAAAGTTCCTGAATGTTGATCACAGTAACTTTTAGAAAGAAATGAAATAAAAATGTGGGCAGACTCTAAGTCTCTCCTCCGTAGGATGGAGGTCATCACTAGAAAATAAAGCTGATGATACTTATAATGTGAGCTTGATCTGTGAAGAAGACTTGCTGACTACTATCTTCTATGCCTGTGACACAGAACGTAAAGGTATGCTACTACTGGCTTTGTGGTCTTTCCTGCTCAGTAAAATGTCAAGATTTGCATTTGATTATGGCTGCTAAAGGTGCATACATGCACAGCAAAAGATGCAGAAAGTTGTTATCTAAACTGTAACCTGAAATCTTGGGGATGAGATGCTTGTAGCTGAACTACAGATAACTTTGTGTGGGAAACTGAACGTCCCCAATATGCTTTGTGCTTCTGTTTCTCATCTAAAAGACTAGGGCACTTACATGCCCATGACTAAATATTTGTGAAACGGAGTGTGAGTCTCTGAAAGGTGTTATAGCTGTGTTAGGGAAGGAACATGATTCTTTAAAGTCCTGGTTTTGTAGAGTTGGATATTAGTCATCTACTTGAAGTTGATTATATTATTTTTAGCTAACAAAAATTATTTTGATAAACAGGCTTGTTGGAAAACATCTGTCCTGAAACTTATTTTCAGAAAAAGGGAGAAAAATGCCAATCTCCTAGTGGATGGGTCTTTCCATGCATCTCTTTGAAATGTTGCAAGAAACTTAATTTTGACTTTTTCTTGTAAAATTTAAGACTTAGTTATTAAGCATCTTCCATTAAAAAAAAATTGCTCCCCATTTCAGTTATAATTGCTTAACATCAGGATTCTGAGTTTCATCTAAGGTGTGTGTAGGGGAGTGGGGGCAGGAAGGTAGATTTCCATGTTAAGAGGCAGACATGTCATGTTGGTGTGAAATCATAAAAATGAAACAGAAAAGATTAAATTGTTTGATTTAATTGTGGCCAGGAATCCACCCCAGGAATATCCCTGGGTCTTAAGCCAAAATTTTTGCATGGTCTCTACTAGGACTGTGCGAAGTGGTGGTGCCGATTTTTTTCTTTCAATTTGAAGCAGATTCAGCCCAATTTGGTGGCCAAATCTCCAAATCTAAAGCAAACTGGGAGACCAATAAAAAGGTCTGAATTGATTTGGAGATTCAGGCAGTCCCCACTCCCCGCCACAGGGACTCTGCGATGGTAAGTAGGGGGCAGAAGGGGTTGGGGCTGGAGGAGGCGACCCCTGCCAGGCCCCATCCCCTGCCTGCTCTCCTAGCCCCATCAATGGCTGCCCTGCCTGGCCCCAGCATTCCTTTAAAAAACAGACCATGGCAGAGCCCCTCTGTGCAGTGGGGGGCTGGTGGGTGTGGGGCTTTTTTTTTAAAGAGCTGGGATGCTGGGACCAGGCAGGGCAGCCATTGACAGAGCTGGGAGAGTAGGCAGGGGATGAGGCCTGTGATTTGGAGATGCGGCCAAATAGATTCGGGACAGTGATTTGAATCGCAACTCAAATGACTGTCTGCCAAATACAAAGCAAATACCAGCTACTTTGGCACAGGCCTAGTGCCTGCTTCTCCATGTCATGCTGGGATGTCTATTGTCTGTAGCTGGTCTATCGCTTCTCAAGATGACATCTGTACTGTAGCATCCCTAGAATAGCAAGCCTCTTGAGAATGTATTGGCAGTGGCCTTATTAGCTTTGCCTAGGTGATAAGTCTTTTTTAAATATGGTGTATAATCTGTCTACATCTTCTAGGAAAAGTAACAGTTTCCACAATAGTTGATTATATGAGGCATACAACTAGCCGGGGGTCAGATGACAGTGGTCTTGAAGAGTTATGTAATATGCTTGATCCTGATAAAAGGGATATTTCAATGGACTTGGAAACATTTCATGCAACCATGAAAGAGTGGATTGAAGACTGCAGAAGAAAATGGTAAGTTGGTCTTATCCTCTAATACCATAAAGTACCTATAGAGACGAGACAATGAAAATCATGGTAACTGCATGTCAGAGAATCCTAAAACAAAGCCACGCTGTAGTCACAAATTAGTCAATGAGTCTACAAGAAAAAATGTGTTAAACCTAAGCTGTGTAAGTGGGCAGGGCAGGTGTAAATAGGTTTTGAGTAATTGAAGTGCTTGTTTTGTTTCAGGGAAGGTGATGCCACCAAGGAACTAACTCTAAGTATGGAAGACTCTGACTTGAAATTGCATGAAATCATTCCAGCAGGTACAGATTACACAATTTTATTCTTGGATGGCTGACATACTCATTTAAAGGTGTGATGAGGTCTGATCTGCAGTACCAGCTGTCGTGCCTCCTGCTGTGCCAGACGTGCATGACAGGGTGTGATTGGAAAATAGCACATCCTCTCTGCCAGTGCAGGAGGTGTCTGAGATTATGATACCAGGATCACCTTGCTCCAGCAAGCTGGAAGCTGGGTGCCCACCAAGCAGCTGCCCAACAAGCAGCCCAGTTGGGGACTGAACCAGGGTCTGAAATTTTGGCCCCGGTGCGGCCCCCACTATATGGATAATCAGCAGATTGCCAAAACTCCATGCTTGGCAGCTCTGGCTGGGTTGCTGGATACAGCAGATCAGAGGCTTCCAGCAGGGGCAGCTGAAGGACTTGTGCCACTGCGGACATTAAACCCTGTACCTGCTGAGATTTTACACACCTGGGATTCCCAAGATCAGGCTGCTGCTTCCCAGTCCCAGTGTCCCCATGGACTGCAATGTGTAAAAACTGCATGCAGCCCAGATGAAGCCACAATAGAGTAATTGCCAGGACTGGGGATCAGGGTTCAAATTTATACTTTCTCTCTTTTTGGGAGAGGCAGAGGAGGAGAGGGGTCTGCAAAAAAAAATCAGGCTGCCCATCATGATGTCAGAATGAAACTGGAGACCCCCAGGTTATGGTTTTCAAATCTTATATGGGGGCTCTTGTCTCTTATGGGGGGGGCTAAGCCCCCCCCCCCACAAGCTCCCCCATAATTTGAACCCTGCTTGGGAGAGCCTCCTTGATCCCAGGGTGTCCATGAGCCAGGGGTGTTAGAAAACCACATGTGCAACTCAGCTGTACTCACAGCTTTTAAAGGTCCCTGGGACTCTAAGATGAAGGAGCCTCTCCTTGATCCCAGGGATCCATCCTGACAAGACCTGAAGATCACATCTGCAATTGGGCTGCACATGTGACTTTCTGCCATCCCTGGTGCATGGGGAACCTCAGACCAGGGACAGGTTCCCTAATCCCAGGGTACTGACACACATCAAGACCCTTAAATGTGTATGCAGCCCAGCTGTATACCTGCTGTCTAAGGTGCAGTGAGCCTCAGATTGGGGAGATAGATGCTCCCTGATGTTGCGCTTGTGGTGTTCCCCATCTGCCACCAGGGTTGGGCAGGGATACAGGGTCCTGGAATTGGTTTTGCCTGCAGCCTGATTACATAAGGAACAGCTATCTCCGAGTCCCTGGGGATACCCCATGCCTGATCCTAACACTCAGCTGGGCACTGGCTGCTATGCCTTCAGTTTAAGGCATCATACAAACATGCCACAAAGTTGTACTGTGCGTAATGCATAACATTTTTGTGGCTTGTTTGTATCCCAAAGATGGTTACACATTGTGCAGAAAAACACTGGCTTGCTTACTGTATTATCATGTCATACTTAAGTAACATGGGCCAAGAGTCCTATTCTAGGATAGTTTAGAAAGGAAGTGGCACCCCCTTCTTTCTAAACTATAACTGGAATAAAATTTCTTTCAGCAAAAAAGGCTTCTGTTAGGCTGAACGTTACATCAGGAAGCTTAGAGGCCTTTGGTGGAGATGCATCTAAAGGAGACTTGTAAGTTCACTCACAGTTTTCAAAGTAAACACCCTGGGTTTTTTTCATAAGCCTGCAATCTGTTGAGCTCAGAATCATTCTGTCAGAAGTGTATTCCTTTTCTTTCTTGCTCTAGTCTTGAACATGCAAAAACTGTTTCTGGTTCTTGTGATCTCTTAACACTTTCGTGTGCCTTATTGTAACTTCTTTTGGGATTTCTCTTATACTACTTACTTGACTGTGGGTTTGTGTGTGTTTTGCTTATTTTGCCTCTTATTTGCCATCACTGACAGTGTGATCAATCTACTTCAGTTCTTAAATTCAAGTTATTTGACACTAGTGCAAAACACGTGATCAGTACCTGAAATTCTATCCCTTCTTTTTTTTTTTTATTGTGAACTCTTACTATTGTCCTTCTGATTTGGGTTGCATTGCTAGGGGAACCCCAGATGCTTAGGATGTCTCAACTAAAAATTCAAAATTATGCTTTTTCAATCGAATCTCCTGTCATAGTTCAAGCATACATTTGTTGTTGTTGTTGTTGTTGTTTGAAATTTCCTTTTCATTTCCCTGAGTTATAACTCTCTTTTTAATTGCAAGTTTAAATGGGAGTGGGGGAAAAATTTCAATAAATACAAGTTGCTAGTGATGTTGTTGGAAGAAAACTGGCTAATTAAAGGAGAGACTAGCTTAATCTGCAAATACTTAAACATGTTTGTCAGTGGTCCCATTCAGACTAATGGAATGACTTGTATCTATAAGTGCAGTCTGTGTATAATAAGGACATATGAGCCAGAGATTTTTGGTAGCATAGCAATGGCGTGATTTGCCTGCAATCTTCCAGGAAAAAGTATTGCAGGGTCAGTGTCACACTGGTGAGCTTGCAGTCACTGGTTAACTTGCTTGAAGACAAATACCAAGAAGAAGGTAGAAATGTGATTGATTGGGTTTTTATTTAATGAATCCAGAGAGACCTCTGACTTGATTACCTGTGTAGCAGACCTTCAATTTAACAACAAAAAACTTCAAGAAGAGAACAGCAAATTAAAGCTGGTTCTGGAAAGCATGGAGGAGGCTAACAACAGGCTAATGGGAGACTTGGAGGAACTGCATAATCAAGTGAAAAGGTAAATTTGATCACAACTTCATTGAGAAGCAATAGCTAAAGTTTAATGGTGACCAACTGGACTGTGCATGTATGGGGGGGAGCCTAAACATGAGAAACATTTAAAATCCTAAACTGAAAGGAAGTGGCATACTTAACTTCCCCAGATGTTTAGATGTGATAAAGCACTGACTGGGAAGGATTAGAAAGCCTTTCATGGGTGGGGAGTTGATTCAACTATTTTCTTCCGAAAGTGCGTTTTAACTAGAAATAGTACTGGCTATAATTTCCGTGTGAAGTTCTTAAATTCTGCCATCTACTTTGAATTATTTACAATTAAGGGTGCACACACTTGGCTGCCCGCACATGTGCGTGCACGCACACTTCAGATTCTTAGTGATTGTCCCAACTGTGCTTGTATCTCCCACAAATGATGTTATTCAATCTTAATCTAGACTCCCCTCACTGAAGACTTGGTGGGGAGGTGGACAATGCAGAGTCTGTCTTTAAAAAGAGATGCTTAAAAAAGCCCACTATGACTTCTGTATTATTTCCAGTCACTGACTTTAGCCTATCAATTTGTGAATGTGTAACTTTGATGTGAGATACTTCTAAAATGTGCTAACAACACAAGCCAAGACCTTTTGAGTTCAGTTATCTATTCTGATTGCCCAGTAGCTTGACTATGAACATGATAGCTTTTAAACCTGAAGAAATATTGGATCATCTTGCTTGCCCTATGGTATTGCTGCGTCCTAGAGGCTCATGAGTATTAAAAGCACAGCTCTGTATCTTGTAACACATTTGACTTTCCTCTGATACAGCATACCCTATAATCTTTGGGTCTACAGCAACAGGCCACAGCCATTATGCAGCCAATCTTTCATCAGGGCTTTATGGGGAAACCTAGGCAGACATTCTATACGGTCAGGCTTTGCTCTCCCATGAAGGGTGTGCAGAGTACAACAAAGGATTTTGGCAATGTTCTCAAGGACCTACTGTTCAGAGCTAGCTGCAAGAATCATAGAATCAGTGAGTCGGAAGGGACCTAGACAGATCATCAAGTCCGACCCCCTGCCACAGGCAGGAAGGAGCACTGGGGGTAGGAGGGGTTATAAGACCCCAGCCAGGTGCCTATCCAGTCTCCTCTTGAAGATTTCCAGGGAAGGTGAGAGGCACCACCTCTCTGGGAAGCCCATTCCAGGCTCTGGCCACCCTTACAGTGAAGTAGTTCTTCCTAATATCTAACCTAAACCTATCCTCCCTCAGCTTGTAGCCATTGTTCCTGGTGACTCCGAGGGGGGCCCTGGTGAACAGACTTTCCCCGAGTCCCTGCTGCTGGGCCCTGATAAAGTTGTAGGCAGCCACAAGATCCCCTGCCCCTCAGCCTCCTCTTGCAGAGACTGAAGAGATTCAGGTCCCTCAGCCTCTCCTCATAGGGCTGACCACAGAGGCCCTCAATCATAAAAGTGGCCCTCCTCTGGAGGAGAAGAGGAGCTAGTGAGATTATATTTGTGCATCCTGAATGTAGAACATGTAATGGCCTAGGTCCTTAGGCAAAAGCAAGACTTTGATAGTTTCTGTGGTTGCTAGGAAAGTATTGTCTATGCATGCAAACTTGAAATTTGGTACTAGTTACAATGAACTAACTGAAGTAAGTGTGGCTAGAATGAATTAATACTTTTTCCTTGGCTAACTGGAAATACCACGTTTATTTGAATTTAAGACTACCCCCCAATTATTAAATTATAAGTGTGGAATATTCATTTTCCAGGTCTAGAATCTAGTTATTAGAGGATTTTTTTAAACTTGTCCCTCCCACCACTACCACAAGGAAAGCAGTAGCTAGGGGGCAGGCAACCTGTTCCATGCCCCTTCTGGTACCTGTCCCCCACCCCCTTACCTTTGCATCTGCTCTTGCTTTGTCTCTGCTGGGGCCATGGAGTGCCAGGCAGTCACAGCACCTCTAGCTTCAGCCTCCAGCCCCAGCTAGAGTTGAGGCTAGAGCCTCCTGAAGCTTGCCTGATGCTCTGTGCGCCCCTTCCTTCCCTATGCCCCTGCCCTGCACTCCCCTCAGTCTGTTCCTCTTTCCATTGTTCCACATGTCCCTTTCTCCAAACTTCCCTTGCTTTTGTGCACCCCTTCACCTGCATTCCCCCATGTACTGTGCTCCCCTCGCTGTGCTTCCTGTCCCACCTGGCCCCCATGCTGCCTCCTGAGCTGCATTCCCATGTCCTTTTCCCTGTAATCTCCCTGCTACCCTTTCCTTCATGTTCCCCCTTCTCCACACTCTCCTGTGCACACTCTCCCTGCTACCCTGGTCCTGCCAGAGCTGCAGCAGCTGCTTGCCTGACCCATACTGGATTCTAATACTAGAGGGCCCCCCATGCTGAATGAGGAGGGGACCTCACCTTCTATTTCAGTAAATATGGTAATAGTGGTTGGCCTTGGTGAAGACTGGAAAAAATCTAGGATGGTGCACTAGCCTAAAAGTCCAGGTTTAATCCCAGCTAATACATATTTAGCAGATGTCTTTAAGTAGATAAGCAAGAATATAAGGCAATACAGTGGCTGTTCTACTCTCTCTTATGCTAGATTATTTCTTATAGTGCCCAACAGACTGTTATGAGAACAAATTCACTGAAGGAGGAACTGGAAGAAATGAAAAGTAACCTGAACTCCTTGGAAGAGAAGAGACACAAACTTCTGAGCCAGAATAAGCAGCTTGTAGGTGCTCTTAGAATTCTGTAAAAGTAGCATGCTGTAATGCCTGGGGTGAACTGTCTAACATATAAAATCAGTGAGTGATGTTCTCTTCGTATTGCCACTAGGTCATGTGGCTTTTGAGAGGAAACCTATCCTGTACTAACTGCCTCTCTGCTACCTCCGAATCTGGAGTACAATGCTTGAAGTTTAAGGTTTTTTTCCTTCCTGTTTTTGGAGCCTTGTTGCTCATTAGACCGTCTGAATTAAAAAGTTGCTGAAAGGGGTTGGTTTTGTGACTTAACACCTGGTGCTGTGTACTAGCAGCATAACCAGGAGTAGAACATAAAAGCTCCAAATTCCTTATGTAACTTTACACAAAATGCTCTTCTTTTGTTTGTGCTGATGTAAACTGGAAAATTTTCAGTGAAGCCAAGATATTTAAAAAAAAAAAGAAAAAAAAAAAAAAGGGAGATTTAGGGTTGAACTTTCTCTATCCTAGAGATCCTGGTTTTCTCTGATTTAAAAAAAAAAAATCCCCAAGGCTCTATTACAACAGTTCATATAGTATTTAATATACAGTTATGGGCCTATCTTTTTTGGCTCCTTGACTTAATTTGAGAAAAAGCTTACAAGTTCATCAAGGCAGAGCATTAATTTGTAAAAGTAGCTATGGTACCCTAGTAATAATTCAAATGTTTTAAGGAAGTCTCCCACTAAAATATGACAGACTGACCTTTTTTTGTTTTTCTTGACTTAACCAGGAAAAAGAGAATCAATCTCTCATACTCAAGATTTCTAATCTTCAAGAAGAGGTACAGTGTGTATGAAAGAAATTTTAAAAAATAATGGTTTTGTTTATGAAAGGAGAGGGGTGGAGAAAATGGGTTAAAATACTTTGGGAATGATGGTCCGTAAGAAATAGTGCACAAACAAAAATAAAGTTGTGTGGAAACGGGAAAGTGTTGTTTTGTAGCTTTGACACTTGTGCAGTGGTTCTTAACCTTTTTAGGCTCAGGATATCACTTGATAGACTTGAGGCACCCCCTGGAAAATACTAGCTCTTATTTTTCACTTGTTTTTTGACCCTGGAAAAATACTAGAGCAATTCTCCTGTTGCAAAGAACTCATAGATGAAAGTTTTTAAAACTATAGCTTTCTATTTGCAATGTCTGGATTTATTTTGTGAATTATGTTTACACATCAAAGGGCATGTCTACACAAGATCCTTAACTGCACAGTAGTGTAGTTTACTGTGCAGTAAGCATGTGCATCTATATGTGCACATACATTCTATGTAGTAAACCTTGCTAATAGCAACTAAACTTGCTACCTGAAAATACAAATAGCACATTTACTTTCAATTAATAACAGTTCAGTAGCACTTGTATAGGTGCCTGACCAGGAGCAAATCTGTTCCCAGTCAGCTGTCCACCAGAGGGCAGGAGACTTGCTCCCTGCTCCTGGGAGCTGCCTACTCCTGGGAGGGGCTCTGCCAGTGGAGCCCAGGCAAGGACTGTCCCCCTGCTCCAGCAGCAAGTGGCTCCAAGCCCCTCGGTTCCAAAATTGCAATTGGGGAGCAGGGGCTGGCAGACCCCTATCTCCCAACACCAGCTCCACAGTCATGGGGCCAGAGCTGGGAGACCCTGGTGACAGTGGAGCCAGCACTGCGAGCTCCCTGCTGCCATGAACTGGGGAGCCTGTTCCCTGCTTAGCTCTGTGAGCACAGAACTGGGCAGGAAACAGGCTGGGGAGCTTGTTCCCCACCCAGCTGTGCCTTTATGGAGCTGAGTGGGGATCAGGCCCCTCAGCCTCCACCCTGTGTGTGGGATGGGGAATGGGAACCATTCTGGTCAGAGGCAGGTCCCAGCTGTATGCCCCAATCTGCTGGTGGGACAGCTAGCAGTGAGCAAGCTTCTACCTGCCCTGCCAACAGATCGGGGCATGGGGCTGTCCAAACATTGTCCCGCCCTGGCAGCAGGTAGCCCCTGGGGGCAGGGTGTAATGTCCCAGCCTCTGGTCCTCCCTGACCTAGTACCCCAGGGCTAGCCCAGAGCTCCTCCTAGTGGTGGCAGGAGCAGCACCCTAGGAAATGGAAGCAGATTGCTGCCATTAGGAACAAATCTGCTCCTGCTTCCCTGCATGTGTAGATGCCTGTCTGGGTGTTTTTACTTGTAAGTAGTTTACTTGTGAGTAAACTGATCCCAGATCAAATGCATGTGTAGATCTGCCTAAATAGCGCTACCCATATACTAAGGCACCCTAGGGTACCACAATACCCTGATTCAGAATCTGTGTCTTAGTGAATTGTCTTGTGCATTTCTCCAGATGGTCAACAGAACCTCCCAAATGTCACAGTTCTTCTAGATATGAGTCATTCTCATACCTCCTAAGAATAGCTTTCATGTTGTGGGTTGAAGGCTTTCCTCTAATGTTTCAGAACCTAGAAACTTCTCTGGATTGTACCATTTCAGTTTTGGGAGCTGCTGAGTGGGGAGGGACCAGAGGACAAAGAGGAGAGGTACTGAAATCCTAAGAGCATTGAATGGGGCAAGTTCATGGTGTGCTTCCTTTACTAATGAAAGGTCTCTAAGGGCATATAGACATAAAATAGCAACACTAAAAGTAAATTCTCCCCTATTGTAGGGTATATAGTAGCCGACTTTTTTTTTATTTTTAAAAGACATAAGTGTATTTGGGGGTGGAGGGAGCAAGGCAGGGTTTGCATGTATATGGAATTATTTAAAGGAGTGAATCAAAAAGCTATGGCTTTAGAGGAGGAGATGTTATTCCCTGTGGTTTTGTTCAGCTCCTCCACACTAATATAGTAACTCTCCTGAGCTAGTTGTTATAACAGTCTGCTTTTTTATTAGAATACTAAGAATGCTTTGGATGCTGATGGCCTTCAGAAAAAGATTCTGGAGTTGGCCAAGAAAGTATCTGAGCTCCAAGTAAGTGTATCTTTACTTTTACCTTCATGACTGTTGGTAGGCTTCAAAAAAAGTCAGTTTCCTCTGGTCTAATAGCTGACTGTCCGGAAGCTATACAGTTTTTATTTCCCACCCCCCAGCCTGTCTGTTTATAGTACAGATCTGATGAGTTCACAAGTATAGATGCTTCTGTCAGCTGTTCTAACTAGTATAAACAGCAGTGGCTTCCCTTCCTCCCACCCCAGATTCTTAACATCCTTGCATTATTTTTTTCTAAATGTTCAATCATGGCCACCAATAAGTCTGTGGGAATGGCCAGTCCTTCCAAAGCTTATTTGAACTGCACATCCAGTCAAATATTTGTGAGAAGAGAATGAGCATGGGGTACGGTAAACACACTGGAGGGCAGGGATTAAAGCCAGGCAGACTTGGATAGATTGGGGAAGTGAGCGGATCAGAATAGGATGCAATTTAACAAGGATAAGTTCAAGGTGCTGCACCTGGGGAGAGAGAATCTCCAATACACTTGCAGACTGGGAAGTATCATTCTGAGTACTACAGCAGTGGAAAGGGATCTCGGAGTCTTGGTTGATGCAAAAATAAACATGAGTTGCCAATGTGATGGGGTAATAAGTAAGGCTAACCACACTTTCTTGCATCAGTAGGTGCATCACAAGTAGGTCTAGGGAGGTAATGCTTCCCCTCTGTGGCATTGGCCAGGCTGCAGCTGGAGTACTGTGTCCAGTTTTGGGTGCCGCACTTCAAGAGGGATGTGGATAATCTTAAGAGGGTTCAGAGGAGGGCTACTTG